AGAACGTTTTCATCAAACATTGAAGAACATGATTAGAACTTTTTGTCTTCAATTTGACAGGGACTGGGATGATGATGTTCACTTTTTACTTTTTGCGGTCCGAGAGGTTGTCCAAGGATCCCTTGGTTTTAGTCCCTTTGAGTTGGTGTCTGGTCATACTGTAAGGGGACCTTTAAAATTGGTTAAGGAAAAACGGCTTGAATCATCTAGACTATGTATCTAGATTTAAAGGAAAATTGTATAATGCTTGTCAAATTGCTCAGAAAAACTTAAAAACTGTTCAGAATAAGATGAAAATATGGTATGATAAAGATGCTAGGGAGTTTTTGAGCCTGGGGATAAGGTACTTGTATTTTTGCCAGTCCCTGGACATCCTTTACAGGCTAAATACTTTGTCCTTATACAATAGATAGTAAAATCAATGATTTAAATTATATTGTAAAAACTCAAGGTCGGCGCAAACAAAATAGAGTGTGTCATATTAATATGTTAAAACCATATTTTGAGCGTATTATTGAAGGTGTGAGTAAACTAGTTGCCACTTTAGCCAGGGTTAAATTGTAGAACAATTATGACAAACCAGATATAATTGAACCACCTTTTGATTATAAAACTATTGAACAAACAGTAAGATTGAAAAATTCAGAAATTTTGTCAAATTTATACTCAAAACTTGCACATCTGACTTTTGATCGTAGAGAAAAATTAAAAACTTTGGTATTTTCTTTTAAAAATCTTTTTCCAGATGTGCTAAACAAAACCACTGCTGTTTGTCATGATGTTGATGTAGGCGATGCTTCTCCAATTAAGCAATATCCTTACCGACTCAATCCACTTAAACTTGATTTTATGAGACAAGAAATTAAATATATGCTTGACAGTGATATTATTGAGCCGAGTAACAGTGAACGGAGCTCTCCTTGTCTCCTTGTGCCCAAACCAGATAAAACCTTTCGTTTCGTGACTGATTTCAAAAAAGTAAATTCAGTTTCAAAATCTGATTCCTATCCGATTCCAAGGATAGAAGACTTCATTGATAACATTGGACAAGCAAAATTTGTGAGCAAATTTGATTTATTGAAAGGTTACTGGCAGGTACCTTTGACACAGAGAGCTTGTGAAATATCAGCTTTTGACACACCAGACGGCTTATTTCAATATACTGTCATGCCGTTTGGTATGAAAAGTTGTCCAGCTACATTTCAAGGAATGATCAATAATGTTATAAAAGATTTAGACTGTTGTTATGCTTATATTGATGTTCTTATTGTATGTAGTGATAGCTGGGAAGAGCATTTAACACATTTTATGATATTTTTGATAGATTGTCACAATCAAATTTGACTGTTAATCTTGGTAAAAGTGAATTTTGTCAAGTCACTGTTGATTATTTAGGGCACACAGTTGGCCAAGGTCAAGTGAAACCTATTATGGCTAAAGTTGATGCAATTACCAAATTTCCTCCTCTTACAACTAAAAAACAACTTATGAGATATTTAGGAATGATTGGATTTTACAGGAAATTCTGTTCAAATTTTGCTTCTGTTGTTCAACCATTGACTCAGCTTTAACGGAAAGATTCTAAACTCATCTCGAGTGATAATTGTCAAAATGCTTTTGAAAATAGCAAATCACTTTTAATTAACAGTCCAGTTCTGATCACTCCAGACTTTGAAAAGCAATTCAAACTTGCCGTTGATGCGAGTGATGTAGGAGTTGGAGCCGTTTTATATCAAGAAACAGATGATAATGTTGAGAAACCTATATCATATTTTTCTAAGAAATTAGATAAACATCAGAAAAATTATTCATCTATTGAAAAAGAGTGCTTTGCACTGTTGTCTGCACTTCAACATTTTTGTGTATATTTAGATCCCACTATGCATCCTATTCTTGTTTATACTGATCATAATCCTCTCACCTTCATACATAAAATGAGAAACAAGAACCAGAGATTGACTAGGTTGAGTTTATTGTTACAGGAATGTGATTTTATTAAAAAACATATTAAAGGTAAAGGTAAAGATAATGTAATAGCAGATGCTTTATCTAGATCTTACTAAAACACTGCATACATACTATGTATTTTTGTATATATTGTTCAGGACAATTTTTAGTTATACTCAAATTTTTTTTAAGGGGGGAGGTGTTATGATATTGTAAGTATTATATTTTTTTATCTTGGCCTAATTTGTTTTGTGTGGCCTTATAACATGTATAATATGTTTACATAATACTTATAGTTGTTTACAAAATAATGTTGTAACTGTGCAGTTTAGAAATCACTTGAACAATCATAGATACTGATGGAATGATTAGAACTTTCTATTTGACTTACATTCTAATTCTGGAATGATCATAATCTACGATGTGTAATTTAAACTTCTACCGTATTCTAGAAATTTCCGTTCTAAAGTTTTCTATGAGTTTCCCTTCTATAGTGTTCTAGAGATTTCCGTGATAACTATATATATACAGACATTAAAGTTAGACTTTGAGATTAGACATTAATAAACTGGTATTCTCAGAAGTTCTCTCAGTTGGATTGACACTATTATTTACGTTAACTACATCATACTAGATTGTGACTTATTGGACATAACATTCTGTTTGGATTCCCGCAACAGTGAAGAGAAGAATTCCGGATAAAGAAAAGACGAAAGGATCGGACATATATATGTTAACAGTTAAGTTGACATTTCAATTTGTATAATATTTGTAAACTTCTGTATAATAAATCTTGTTAGATTTTATTATTGATTTGCGTCTTTTGTTGGCTACAATTTTAAGGTGATTTCTGGCCTTAAAGTGTGTTTTCATGATATACATTCAGATGTTAGAATGTGTATGTTAATGCAGAGACGATTTGAGGGGGGTGAGCGGACAGGGGCCCGGCTCACCCTTATGGAGCTACAGATATGGAAAATACATAGACGTTTTACATATCCCACTCATAACGTGGCTTAGTTTGCACTCTCGTTGAAAATCGTTTGCATCTGAAATCAACAAAACAAGATCTGTGATTGGATCAGTGGCGGATTCAGAAGGGGGCGTAGAAGGCGTAGATTGGAAAATATATAAGTTTTTAGCATAAAATCGTCCAAAATTTGTTCACCTCGTTACACTCGGCGGTATTTGTTCAGTTTTATGGAATTACGCCCCCTTTCAAAAACCCTGGAGCAGCCCCTGTTAGTCGATCTATAGTTATCTATGTTGTTTTGTGTCTGTTGTTTGTCTGTTTGTCTTTTTCTTTTAAGCCATGGCGTTGTCAGTTTATTTTCTCCTTATGAGTTTGAATGTCCCTTTTGTATCCTTCGCCTCTCTTTTAGTGCGGATTTAAGAGTAGGGCGCACTCGATGTGTATTTACTTTGCAAATGTAGTACTAGCCTCCTATTCTGGATCTCCAACTTGGTATAATTATAGACATTAGAAGTTCAACATTAATTTTATTTACCATTCATGGACGACTTATATGCACATCTAAACCAAAGACAAAAGCGGGTTAATCCTTCCGCAACGCCCATGATTTCCGTTTTTTCTTCAGTATAACTTGTTGCTTGTTTGTCTTTTTTTGTTTTGGACCATTTAAAGATTTCTATACAATGTGGACTATATAACGGGCATATTGAACTCTATTTGCATTGGTTTTGATGATAATTTCTTTGATGATTGGGTGTTGTCTCGTTGACATTGATTTGATATATAACTATTGGTATCTAAATCAAAGCTATGCTTGTATGTGTGTTGAAATGGACACTGGATTTCACATGTTCGCTCGTGTTATCATCTTCTGTAAAAGCTAAACGTAAAACTGATTGGTTCACAGTTATTTGAGGTGTTTTAACCAATTAACGAAGTTTAAAAGAATGAGACCAAATTAGTTGTGCATCTTGCATTGACTGAAGATTCTACCAGTTGAAAATCATTTGGTGATTACTAAGGCAAAGACCATGTGACTCCCACGGGGGATATAGTTTTATTCCGTTTGATATTTGGTTTTTGTGATCGCAAGTGTCGCATTATGTTTTGCTCACATTTAACCTTTATTTTAATGGGGAAAATGTCCTTCTCCAAGATATTTTTATCATAATTTTTTCCATACAATGAAACATCTTTGTCTGGCAATCCTTGATGAATCACGTTGACAATGTGATGATGACATATGCATTAATGAATAAAAATAATTTTGAATTTGTCGTTAAATTTAGAGTATTGCACTTAAAATGCCAATGATGTAAAGATTTAAAAATGCATGCTTAAATAAATCCCGCGCGTATGTGTGTAACCTTGGTTAACATAAGCAACGTATCGGACGTAAGTGTACTTTAAACTAATTTTCATTATTTTCAGATATTAAATGCGTAATTTATTAGCAATACAATTAAATGTATAAAGATATGTTTGATTCAGAAAAGAGTGTCGTTTTATCAGATAAAACATAAACTCTCAGTGTTTTCGTTGGAGTATAATACATGCTCCCTTAACGTTCGTTCGTACCTTTCGTCAAAATGTTAGAAAGCTCTAATAAACGAAATCTACATATAATCAGGCGATATATTCCCTTAAAATAATCACGATTATCACAAATTTACTAATAAAAATATTAACATGCAATTAATTTTGATAAATCCAACATCAACAATGTTGTAAGTCCTTTTTAAGGACTTTCCCTTTCCAATTTTTATGTATCTTCTCTTGATGATGTTTTGGATCTTTCAAATTAAGTGTATATTTCTTTGAAGTCGGAAAAGATTGTCACAACACTGATGCAGATATCATTAAGTGTTCAAACCATTACTTAATTTTATGGAAAATGAAATGTAGTAGTCATTGTGCAAATAACATGCAGGAATATAGTTAACCAGGTATATCACAGCCAGATTGTTATTGGTATGGAAGACCAAAGAAGGATAAAAGTATTGAATCATTTTATGAGTACATAACCAATTTTTTTAGTGTATATACATCAGGGCTTTAATAACTCATTTACATTTTAAAGGTGAACTTACGTCAGCAGATTTAGACTTTGATTTGCTGATTTTTCTGCTTAAGCATCTAGAAAACATTAATATACCCGAGAATATTCCCTCCAAAAAGAGCATTAATCCAGGTTCAGATTTGGCTCGCATTGTAATCTACAGAAGACGATTGATGAAGAAAAAGGATGGTGCTTTGACAGAGTCTGAATTTAAAAAGTACTGGGATGATGTTTCATCGGTGGGTATTTTGTAAATTTTAGATACTCAGCTGATTTTTCATTGGTCTAACCATTTGTTACAAGATAGTTTGTCATTATTATTTTTGTTTGTTATGCCTTTGACACACCTACATGTAAGCAAAAATATACCCTTGTAAAGTTATTAAAGACTGTCCAATAGAGATAACATTTTTGTTTTAAGTGTACCCACCGTATGAAACAGGTAAAACTTCATGCATCCTTGTGGCATCTGATTATCAATTAAAACTTGCAATCCGTTATAAGGTAACACTGTTTAGCAAATTAGCACTTATCTGCTGGAGAAACGTATAGTTCCCCCTACTGAAGCTAAGAAAATCGTTTGTAATAGGTCAGCTGAAAATTGTTTATGAAAAGTATATGCGAAAAGTTACAATTGCATACAGATAATACAAATGTATGCACTTTTTTTTTAAAAGAATAGTTATATTTCAGAAGCTGAAGAAACAAAATAAAATTTTTAATAAAAAGTGATTATATTTATTTAGTATAAAAGCAATGTTGCATCTTCATCGTAAAAATTAATCATTACTTTCAGCACCTGAATAATAACTTTTTCGTTATATTCAAAACTGTTATAATTACTGGAAAAGTCTTTTAATATAAAAATAAGGAGATGTGGTATGGTTGCCAATGAGACAACTATCCAATAGAGTTCAAATTAAGTAGATGTAAGCAATTATAGGCAACTGTACGGCCTCCAACAATGAGAAATTCTCACACCTTATAGTCTGCTATAAAAGTCCCCGAAAAGAAAAATGTAAAAAAAAAACCAAAAAAAAGCGAGAAAACCAACTTTAGCCTTGAACTACATTATTTTTGAATCCATATTCCATCTTAAAATATTGCCTTTTATTACAAGGTAAACAGTAATATTACTATAAAAAAAAAGCGACATTGATGAATAATCTTTTAAAATTGAAGTCTTGGAGGGACTTTTGTAAACGCGTAACTTTTGTACATGTTATGACTTAAACATTACAATAAAAATTTTCACACGAACTACAATATTATTATTAGCTTTAAAATGCTAAAAAAAACCCCGAAAAGATACTTGGACTATGATTTTGCTGAAACAGTTGTGATGTGCTGAAGTTTTAGATAAAACGGTTTAGACCACTACATTGATAAAAGTTTATCATGACTATATATATATATATATATATAGTCATGATGTATATACAAGTCTAAATTGAAAACAACCTTCAAACCTATGATTGCGTTGGATAAAAACCGCAATTTTTTATACGTGTGCGTGCAAAACAAATTTCTTGGTAGAGGGGTCTAAATACAGCACAAACAACATTTTCCAAAAGACCAAAAAAGTGAAAAAGTATATTTTAACAAAACGCATTTGACTAGCAGGTCGAACAACGGATGTTCTTAAACCCTGCTGACTGCCATAGCGATTGCCAAATAAACGGATCACCAGATGTAACAAAATGGATCTTAATATATATATATGTATATGTTTATATAAAATCACTACATTAAGCTTTTCCTAACAAAACCCGTATAAAATGTTCGTAAAGGACATACATGTTAACAAATAATTAGATAAATATTGATCGCTGCAAATGCATAAATAATCCCGACCCAGCTCTCTTTTTAAGTCTATCAAGGTTTCCTTCGAAGTCTTGATCGTGGATCTTATATCACTTATAGGTTAAACTGAATACATATATCATAACGGTTGCATTTTAAAGATGTGTTTATCTAAATGTTTTAAAATTATTCATCGATATACTGATAAGATAAAATTTGACAAAACAAAATTATGACTTTAATACCCTTACCTAAAACCAAATGAGTTGGTTTAGCAAATTAAGATGCCATGTGATTAAGATTCTGACTTTGTTGTTTTCCATTTAGAAAGACCAGATTTACGTCTCAGATTGGAGCTGAATCTAACTTGTTTCCATGATTTTATATTTGGACATGGATGTTTTTATTTTGCTGGGCCAGCGGTTATGGGAGAGAGAATTGTGTCCATACCATTTCAATAATAAACTACATGCAATCATATGGGAAATAAAACAATGGGGACTTTTCAAATTCATATAAAGATCTTCTTTCTTTTACACAGGCCATAACACGAATTGGCGGTAAAGATTTCGAAAGAATATGTTACCGTCTGGAAAATGAAGACAATCTACTTGATAATTATTTGAATATATAACAGATAAGCAGCAAACATTTAAAATGAACATGGGAATGGAATCCTTTTTTTCTCTCGTTACAAACTTTTACAGAACAACAGTATAATGGTACAACAACAAGACAAACGAGTAAACTTATCAGTTAATTCGTCGGGGAAAATGTGATGTATCAAAATACTAGAACAAAAATGTATCTATGATCATACTAGACTGTGATATTTTGTTTGTACATATAATGACATGTAATAATTTTGTCAAGAAGTAGTAGCATAACTATCATGGATTATGCACATTGGTTTTACAAATCTAGAAATGACAAGACTTAGACCAAAACACATTTGTTTTAACCTTCCTTTTGTCATCATCTTCTTTGATGCTGCAAACAGCTTCCCCTAAATTATTCGTGTCGAACATAACTTTACCGCAGGATCGCCAACCTCTCTGACAATGAAGATAACTATGTTCGTTTTTGTTTAATCTGTTTGAATAAATACAGCCAAATTCACTATGAAAAAATACTTTGGTTTCATATCTGGGCAGAATATCGTCATTTTTACATAAAGGCTGGTATGGGTTTAGATAGTCGTCCTTTTCAATAATAAATCCAAATGATGTTGAGGATGAATTCTTAGTTTCTCCGTGACTTCCACATACATATTTTGATGATCTATTTGTATACGGTAAGTGATGCTGTGGAGGATTTTCACTACAATCAGAAGAATTAGATCTGCTAACATTTATTACCTCAAGATATTCTGCTTTCACTATATCTTTATTTGTAATTTGATTCAGATTGTTCTCATCAATTATATCATATAAACTTTCATCCACTTCAATATTTTCATTTCTGTTTTCCTGTAAATCCTCTATCATTCCGACTTGTTGAATGTTTGTCAGCGTATGCGATCTAGACCTATGTTTCCGTTGTATGAGAGCGCAAATTGCTATCACAAGGATTAATACTAGAGCTGATAGGATATAGTACACCATTATCTCCCTTCTTGAAAAACCTTTTAAACATTGTAAACATAATCGTTAAGAATATAAATAAAATGGAATGTCATTACTGGGCAGCAATACCTTACAACATCATATCTAAATATTCAGTTTAAATAAAAGGAAATGAGAGGTATATACGTTGCATTAACAAGACACCAACTTTCTAATAAAAAAGACACAAAATCCTACATAGAAAAAAATAAAATTTATAAACACAAACTTAACTAAAGATCAGAATGAACTCAATGGTTCTGAAACGGGAAGTTTTTACTTCACTACTAGAGGCAAACAAAGATGTTGCACGCTATGTTGTGCTAAGAATATCTGCAATCTAAAGTACCGGGAAAAAGAAGTAGTATGAAATATGATAATTATGATAGAAATAGAGAAAAAGGTTCTCAAAGATGTTATCTACTAGTATTAATCAATTGAATAAAACAAATTGTCAGTTGACTCGTTCCGGAGTTATTGCCCTTAAATGACAATTTTTACCCAAATTTTGCTGTTTTTTTATGCATTAATCTTGAATCTAAATTACACATAGAGAAATTGTAGACAGCAAAAATTAATAACAGTAGACGAGTTGCATATAAGTCAGCATCGTAGGAGTTATTATCCTAAAGTAAGAATTGTTATCAATTGTTTTGCAAGTTTTGGATATTCTGGTGAAAACTATATAACAGACCGATTTAGGGTGTTAGATGATGATGATGATGGATGACCATTTCAAGGCAAGTGGCAAATTAAATTGAAATTCAGGCCGAAAACATGTTAATGTGATATGAATATGACTTCTGCTTTACTAAACTGACACACTGAGCCGGATGTTTAATGTGATAGTTCACAAGCTAACAGTCCACAGAAAGACATGTCAACCTACCCGGACACATTCTTCTGACTGCGGATAGACTAGTTTTTGCTATTACTCCTTTATGCTGTGTAATTAGCGATGAGGCAGCGCATACCAATTTTTAAGTCTTTGGATCAACCCGGCTTAGGAGTCGAGCCTTTGACTTCCGGCACTTGAGGTGAGCACGAGACCATCCAGGTGGTTGAAGCCGTAAGAGCCTCAGTTTTAAGTCACAACAAATTGTGTAAAAAGGTAGTTATTTTGCTTTAATGGATACATATAAATGTAAAATAATGAAATAAAATATATCAACACAGTGAGATATTTTCTCTTTGCAAAATATCATAAATAATGTAAATAAGATAACATGACTATACCAGTTGATCACAATATTATAAAAAAACTGTTTTCTCTTTCTTTGGCGGGTGTTGTCAATAAGCGACGGATATTATACGTGTGTTAATGAACTGCTTACCATTCGTTTTTTTGTCTGGGATGCCTTTAAGAGTAATGTTTTCCCTCGCTGCTGTAAAGAATTCGTCTAAAAAGGAGAACAAAAATGTGTTAAGTGTGTATTGCGAGGAACAGGAACTGAAATAATCACCAAACTTATTCTTTTGTCTTCAGAATGAAGTGATAGATCCTAACATTGTTTAAAATCCTCAACTCAACATTTAGGCTTTGTCAATCTCATATTCTTACCGTCTTTGTGTTTCTTGTTTTGACACTCAATACTAGATGTGACTTTGGATAATTCGCGCACACAAGGAAATGTTTTGCAATAGTTTTAAAACATCTGACTTTTCTACACTTTACACAAGTATTCCCTATTCCAAACTAAAAGACAAATTGAAAGAGTTGGTCATGCTTTGTTTCATAAAAAAGAATGGCTTACGTTGATACAAATTTCTTGTCTTAGGGCGGGATAAATCGTACTTTGTAAAAAACATTCAAACAAAAAATTCTCTCAAACTGATATATCAAGATGCTTGATTTCTTGATCGACAGCATATTTGTAACGTTTAGAGGACATGTTTTTCAGCAAACAATCGGCATTCCCATGGGAACCAACTGTGCTCCTCTTCTTGCCGACTTGTTCCTTTATTCATAGGAGGCTGACCTCATACAGGAACTTCTTAGGAAGAAAGAAAAGAAGTTAGCAGTATCTTTTAATTTCACTTTCCGCTATATAGATGATGTTCTCTAACTAGATAATTCAAAATTTAGAAACTATGTTGAACTCATCTATCCCATTGCACTTGAGATAAAGGATACAACAGATACAGTTAATATAAATAAGAAGATGTGGTATGAGTGCAAATGAGACAACTCTCCATCCAAGTCACAATGTATAAAAAGTTAACTATTATAGGTCAAAGTACGTCCTTCAACACGGAGCCTTGGCTCACACCGAACAGCCAGATTTAAAGGGCCCCAAAATGACTAGTGTAAAACAATTCAAACAGGAAAACCAACGGTATAATCTATATAAAAAACGAGAAACGAAAAACATCTATGAACCACACCAACAAACGACAACCACTGGACAACAGGCTCCTGACTTAGGACAGGTGCATAAAAATGCAGCGGGTTTACACGTTTTAACTGGCGCCAACCTTCACCCTATTCTGAGATAGCAGTGTAACATTACAACATAAGAAAACACATAAAATATCAATTGAAATGGCTTAACTCGATCAAAAAGACAACTCTTACCTGGGACAAAATGGCGTTAAATAAAACAACGTACACAGGTAAATTTAAATATGATAATGTTGTTGTCAGGAGTACGGAAGTAAACATTTTTTACAAAATTAATAAATTTGTTGTTCAGAGTACGAGTACCGAAGTGAACATTTATCGTCTTACTAAATATTTATCAAAGGTGGTACATATTAAAAAAAGTGAGACGAGATATAACACAAAATAAGTTAACATTGAATTACAGAAATGCATTATAAATTGTGACAAAAGGTCAAACTAACACGAAAGTACGATTTGAGAGTAATCGTAGTTACTGAAAGCTAGTTAAAAGTCAAAAACAATTAACAATAAAAAATCATGCATCAGAGACTAAAATCAATTAAAACACATGCCAGGGATTTAGTGTTTAAATGCCATGGACAGTCAAAGAAGACATGACTAGTGCAATGCCAAAATAAAAGTATCGACAGGCAGTACGATCGTTAGGATTTAACTTTATAATACATATTATCATGTTATATATAGATAAAGCAATCTCTAAATAAAAAATTCACGTGGATGTGTATTAATAACTCCCAAAAACCATTCGAAAAGAATACAAATTTAGTTATGTTTTAATTTGTTGAAGACAAAATCGATGTTAGTGCTAATGTAAACAATATTCAAAGATCTTATTACAACATTAAGACTGCCTAAAATCTTGACTTACATCTAGAAATTGACAATGAGGCTCAGTTGAAAACAAAACTATACGACAAAGGAGATGATTTCAGCTTCCTAATTGTGTGAATTTTCCATTTCTATGACGCAACATTCCAGTAGCGTTTGAATACGGAGTATATATCCCCCAGTTGATACGATATTCCAGGGCTTGTGTTTCCTATCATGATTTCCTTGACAGAGGGTTGCTGCTCACAAGGAAACTATTAAACCAAGAGTTCCAAGTGGTGAAGTTTAAATCATCCCTTCGTAAATTTTACGGACGCCATCACGAGTTGGTTGACCGTTATGTAATATCTGTTTCACAGATGACGACGGATATGTTCCAATTGTCGTGACTTTTTTTAGCCATGGCGTTGTCAGTTTATTTTCGACTGATGAGTTTGAATGTCCCTTTGGTATCCTTCGCCTCTCTTATAGTAATGTAGTAATGTATATTTCAGAATTAAAGTTATTATTTAATTATATACTACTCAAGGTAAACGAGGCCGGCATAAGATACATGTATTTCCTGTATCCAACTAACAAATGTTAAAGAATTCAACAATGTATGATTAAATTACAAAAACACTATATTATTCTTGATTTAGATATATTCCATGTAAACTTATTGATCTTTTAAATAAACTTAGTCTGACTTAAGGGTTATCAATTCAACACTGCATTAAAATCTTTGAAAGTTGTCTTTATCGGTACTAACATATATTATGTTTTTGATAAAATAACTAAATGTGTATTGCTATGCTGTGGTCCTACATCATGTCCATTCTTATATTTTGGCATTCCTGAAGGCCATGATTTGTTATGACTGTTTATGGCGTCTTAACACTAAATCTGTTGGATGTGTATTAAACTATTAGATTGATTTTAAGTCTGAGAAAACATGAATTATTATAAGTTGTCAGTTAGTGCTAGTAGTAAGACTCTTAGATCAACACTTTGTGTACTTTTTGTATTTTTTTGTTGTTGTTTTGGTCCAACTGTTTTACAGCTTGTTTTTATGTTGTGCTGTTACCCCATTGTCCCAAGCTATAAGAGGAGGGAAGAGCTCTCACAAAGCCCTGTTTGACCATGCTACAGTCTTTATGTGTCTAAGTCGGAAACATGTTATATAGCACTTGTCGCGTGGCTATCTGTAATATTTCATTCGTTATCGTTTAATCAAAAATCAGACGGTTGATTTTCTAGTTTGAATTATTTCTCATTTTGTCATGCATGGGCCTTTTATAGCTGATTATAAGATATGTTCTTTGCTCGTTGTTGAATGTCGTATAATGACTTTTAGTTCCTTATATCCACATCCTGTGATCTCTCATGGATACTTGTCTCATTGACAATCATATCATATCTCTTTATTTTCATAGTTTCGAAACAACAATGAATCAATTAGTCTTGCATCTTTACATTTGTTACAGCTTAACGTTAGAACAATTTCATATCCTCTTGTTTGCGTGAGCATTAACAAAGTTATTCAAACTATTCATTTTAAAACCATTATTGTTCGTTTAGATTTATATATCACAATTTTAATATTTTCTTCAAGACATTACATATAAGATATATGCATTTACCTGTAGACAAAATAAATGTGCTGGTTGACGTTTCTTCTTTAATGCATCCTTCTATATGATGACATCTATAATTGTAAATAAAAAGTAGATATATTATTTTTTACGTATACATATGTTGGTTTACTTGTGTGCGTTGTGTTGTCTTCCGGGAAGAATCACTATTGTATTCAGGTATCCGAAATTGTAATTCACTTGTAAAAATTTGGTAACCGTGTCAGTTGAGTTTTTACTGGACTCGTTTTGCTAGTGTTATCCGAGTTCTTTTCCACGTTTAAAACCCACGTAGGAAGGGAAGGATCTCGTGGCCATTTCACGTCACAACTCCTCACTGACTTCATATATCCTGATAGTGTGATTCCATTTGAGGCATATACATAATAGATCCTTATAAGATAATTACCTCCTTATGAATCACACCGGCTGGTTAAGGGATGGTAAAGTGTAAACCCCTAGAGTGACGTCATTGGTTATGGTAAACACTGTATGACTAACACAGGATCAGTTGTCATTGTACGTCTGAGCAAAGTGAATGTAGTAAAGTCTACAGTCCTCGCTGTCCTGCCATTTGACTTCGGGACAAATTAAGAATTATAATAAAAAAAAAACAAAATGATTGTTCTGTCGATGACATCAAAGTCTTCTGATGTAAAGTCATCCAAAATATTTGACATCTCATTTATACGTAAAAAGCACAATCCAATTCAAAAGTTTCCGAATCGTTGGTTTGTATTTGACATCGGTAAAAAATAGTACTGCAGTCCGTTAAACAATAAATACATTTCTAAACTGACTATGTGTTCTCCTATGGAGTCGAAAAATTAGGCCGGACCCGATGCGGGAAAATGAAAGTCAACCCAATGATTTCCTTTTCGTCAGAGTTGTCTGAGTTGATGATGAAAGTTTTAGGTCCAACACTCAATATTTCATCATTTTCTTCTAATGTTATAATTGTTTCCATCATTTTCCTTAAATCTATATATTCAATGCAAGGAACCTTATATAGAACAGTCATGTACAAAAACAGTCGCCATTTTCATACTTTGCTTTATATACAAAAGGATGATCGGTTTTCAGTTGCCTCTTACATATATTTGTAGTACGAAATATGAAGGATAACTAGAAAGATAAACAAGCTATACACTGTTTGGTTAACTGCATTCAATGGTTTATCCTGCCGTTTGTTCATCGATCGATTCGAACATATTACTTTTTCTATCATAAGTGCTCATATTACCTGTACGGATTCAATTTGGTCTAAAGCTTTAAATTACTATCCTATTACATGTAAGCGACTTTAAAATATGTTTATGCAGCCACTGCATGTT